TCCTGACAAATTGAAAATGAGTTAAATTGCTGCAACCTGCTAAATGACAAATCAAAATATTAAGATGGCTTGATATTTCAGCCTTGGCAAACTTGGCTGCCTTCAGAGGCATTTGCGTCTGAAGAATAAATAAAAAGAAAGAAATTGGAAGATTTGCTTATATAGCACTTTCTCCATTGTATCAACAATCTCAAAGCGCTTTACAGTTATTCCCCCGTTTATCAGGCCATGGGACCACGCGGCAGCCAATATGACTGCACATTGGGTCCTCTCACAGGTACCCATTCATACTCCTGGGTGGAGAGAGGCAATTGTTTATGTCTTGCCCAAGGGTACAAACACCATGTAGGGTTTGAACCCACGTACCATTGTACCTGAGTTTTAACATCGTAACCACTGGACTATGGTGCGCCTTGTTAAGGCTTAAATAATTCTTTGAAATTTTTTTCCTATTATGCCTGTGTTATTCGGTAGCTTCACGAGACCACAAATGGTTCTTTTTTCTCCTTTTATTACCTAGATTTTTTGATAGGCTTCCTCGTTCATGTCCAATATGGGTTGAGATATTTCACTGCTTGGTGTTTATATATAGCCCCACAAAGCATCAATTATTTTTTCCTTCCCCCCCCCCCTTCTAGGAATTGTTGTGGCCTCCTTGTTAAATATCCAATATGGGTTGTAAATTGAGCGTGTTGCAACAACAGCTTTGCGCTCTCTCCACCCACAGATATATAAAAAGGTCCTTGCTGTAAGTTGCCCTTCGGCCCTGGCCTTGCCTAGCCTGGGCTTGCCAGGGCTGTTCCCCCTGGTTGCCCCACTCCCCCAGCGAAGTAAATCTCATTGGGGGCATTGGCCAGGCTGGATGACCTGGCTCTCTCGCTCTTGACCGCTGTCCCCTTGTGGCTCAGGAATTTGTTTTATTCTTTCTCTTTCGCTTTTTTTTTTTTTATCTGGTCTTGGGATTGAATTCTGGCGCCGTGCCAAAATGGGCGGAGTTGTTTATACTGAGTGGGTATTCTTGTTGCTGCTGTCATAATCGATATGTGACCAAGGTGACCAAGTTTAAGGCCATGCTAATCAGGGTGAGTATTGTTACTGTACTTCCTCCCCCACTATAATTTTCCATAGTCAGTTTCTTTGAAGGCCAAATTTATTGTTCATAGAACAGTGGATTTTATTATTGAGCAAATCTTAGTACATTATCTTAAAGAAATTGAAGAAAAAAATTCAAGTATTTTTTACCCCGAATATTGTCTCTGTGTACTATTTATCGTTTTCTTACGTGGAAAAAATGTCGTTAAAAAAAATAATAACAAGGGAAATCACCGTGAAGGATCACATGAAGGGATCAGTTACATGTATGTCAATCCTTTGTGGAGCAAAAAGAGCAAGGGAGTAGTCTTTTTTGTTAACTACCAATTCCAATATGTATTACATTCTGAGAAAAATAATTTCAACCAATTTCTTTTTTATAGAGTCCCATAAAAAAAAATCAACCTTAACTGACCTTAGAAAAGATTAGTATAGATTTTTTTCCCCATTGGAAAAGGTCAAAGTTATGGGTTGGGGAAAAAAATGGGTTAAGGAAAAAAGAAGAAAATTGCTGCCTTTGTTTGGTGAGAGTATCGGCTCTGAATAGTGGGGTTCTGAATACCGCAAGTTTTTTTTTTCAGCCCTGCATTGTTGACACAAGTGTTTGTTGCTTGTAAAGAAGTGAACTCTAGGAATGGACTGTTGACCACAGGTTGAAGGGGGGGGGGGGGATATAATGGCCGTAGGTTGTCCAGTGTGAGGTCAAGTGCTCCTAGGGTCTCCAACCGCACTCCAGGTTTGACTGTATTGAATTACTGGTCGTGGTCAGAAACAAGAACCTTCTACTTTTTTTTTGTCTTGGCTTGAGGTGCCCTGTCATGAATAATTTGAATGGGGTATTCAATTATATGCGAAGTTTTAGCAAATTTTGTACCAGCCCACCTTAGAAGATATAATTGCATTTTTAAAAAATAGTCTTCAAGGGTATGTTTTGTTGCGAATTCATTCAGTAAAAAATAAAAAATAACCCTTTTTAGGCAAAAAAAAAATTAAGTCGGTCTCTGGTCCGCGCGCGCGTCGATTTTAATCATGCGCGTCGATCTTTTTTTTTCCAAAATGTTCCGCGGTACCTCCAACAGCGCCCTCTATCTCCGCACCTCCTCAATTTTTTTTTACCAAAGAGCACCAAGGAATGGGAAATTGCACGAAGGCAAATAATCGAAATCACCAAGGCAAATTATGGAGGACACCAATGTACATGAGGACACCAAAAAAGCAAAATAGTACCCCACCTTGTCTGTACAATCCACGCTTGAAGAAAAGGGGAAAAAAAGGAAAAAAAAAAAAAAAAAAAAAGCCGCGTGGCCGCGTCAATTCCGGAACTTTGGTCTGACCAGAGACCAAATATTTTTTTTTTTTGCCTTATTATTATTATTTTTTTTAAATGTGTTATTCAATTTCTGTTAATGAGGCTTTACATGTTGTCAAAAAGTGTGTGATATGCTGCTTTAAAATGAAAGAAAATACATATTTTTTTTCTTCTTGAAAGGTATGAGAAAGGGGAAATAATGGTTTAAATTTAGCGAAATGAAGTATTATTTAAAAAAAAAAAAAAAAAAGAATTTAAGGAAGTACATGTTGCTACTATCTTTTCATGGAGTAGAATTTTTGTTTTTGTGCTGATATTTAATAACCATTATGTTAGACCTTCTGTTTTTGGACTTGCTAATGTTAATCAAAGTCGATAGGTAAAAAAATCATTTTAAATCACAACAGATGGACCATTGTACCCAGCAGATACCACACATGATTTGGCCCCCCCCCCCCAAAAAAAAACTACCGAACCAGCAAATCAGCAACTGGGGGAAAAAAAATTGAACCTTTGTTATATACAATGTACATGTGTAACAATAGAATTCATACCATTCTGCCCGATGAATAAAAATGTACCAGCCTTTAAAAAGACCCGGTGGAAAAACACAGGGAGCGCTCGGCAGCCCGCTGTAACTGATATCAAAGGGTTTGATTTCATTGCGGGCCCTCATAAATACTAGCCAGCGCTTATCACAGGTCATGATCGGCCGGTAATTATATTATTCATCCTCGTTTGCATTCAGCTACACCTTCCCTGCACTGTGTGCGTACACGTACATTCCTCATTTGTTTTGCGGTTTCTATTTATTTATTTTTTCTTTTGTAATTTTTTTTTTCTCTTTTTTTTTTTTTTTTGATATGTGGTTGGCTTAGCGGAAAAAAAGCACTTGGGACCAAGCCAAGCTGGGCATCCTTGACCCGGGTACCATTCTCACGCTCGGGCCACCAGAGGCCATGTAAATACGCACACGTACACTCTCTTTTTGCAGGGTGGGATGTATAGGGACCGGCTAAAAAGATCACCAGTTGTCAACAGGATGTATCTATTGTCGGGGTGTTTTCATTTCGTCCACCGCGTTGTTGTTGTTGTTTTAGTTGGGTGGACTGTGCTGATAGGCTGGCAGTGACAACCGATGCCTGTGCACACTGAACGTGGTTCTTATGCAAGCTCCGCCTCCCAAAATGTATATTCTATTGAGTGCATACTCTAATCGTATTCATGAAGAAAGAGCCCCCCACTAAAAAAAAACCAAAAGTCCCACTGGCATTTTGGGTATGGGAGATTACACAGACCAGTTTGCATTCTGGGAAATAATTGCTATTTCATAGGTTGTATTTATAACTGTTTTGCCTGACCCAAAAATGGGAGGGCATAAGCCGATTCCAAAAAATTTATTGCAATAAATATTTATTGCTAAAGAACGTACCTGTGTATACGTGTTTATGTCAAATTGTCAGCACTGGGATAATGTAGGCACGAATGGCTGTGTTTTGTCAGTATTGCTCGTAAACAATCAGGATCAAAACGAGATACCTTAGTGATAGGGCTGTGCTGAATATACTGAATATTCGAATATTCGTTCATCCATCGGATATCCGAATAATTTTTTTTTTTTTTTCCAATGCAAATATTCGGGGAAAAAATGAGCGGTCTCAAGGAAATTATATTAGACCTGTGTTATTTTAATCGTAGGCGCTGTTTTGTTTGTCAGATGCCACACTTTTACCGAAAGCCACTTAACAGGCATGATTTGAGAACTTCCGTGAGGAAAATTAGCTGAAAGTTCTTCTTTAAATCTGTCAAGTATCAGCAGTTCCGCTACCTCGGGAAAAAAAATGTATCGATACCAACATGATGTTCTTCATATTACCAGTATTTTAATAAGTTTTCATGTAGCTAATTTATGTGGTCATTCAATGGAAAGTGTTGTGGGAATAGATCTCTAAAAACTCTGCAAAACATTCACCATACCGGTACGTGTATACATACCTGTATTACTTGAAGAAGCAATGATAGGAATCATTGGCATTATGTACATGTAGCTACTGACTTACCAATGGCCTTCAAACTGCTGGCTGACCACAAGCCAGTCCACTGGCCAGTCACTAGCCAGCCGCTACGCAGCCCTTGGCCAGACAGTGGCCATTCCCTGGCCAGACAGTGGCCATTCCCTAGCCAACCCACTTGCCAGTCCCAAGCTAGCCAGTGGCCAGCCCATGGCCAGCGGCAAGCCACTGGCCAGTGTCTAGCAAGCCCAATGGCCAGTCCATAGCCAGCCACTGACCAGTCTCTAGCAAGCCCATTTGCCAGTCCATAGCCAGCAACTGGCCAGTCTCTAGCCAGCCACTGACCGGCCTCTAGCCAGCCACAGGCCAGTCTCTAGCCAGCCACTGGCCAGTCCCTAGCCAGCCACTGGCCAGTCCCTAGCCAGCCACTGGCCAGTCCCTAGCCAGCTACAGGCCAGTCTCTAGCCAGCCACTGGCCAGTCACAAGTCACTCGCCCTGTCATGGCCAGCTGTTGGCCAATTGCATTTATGTTCATTAATTTTCTGTTTTGAAATTTCGGATGTTTTTTGTGTTTTCCCATGCACAGAGCCAGATACGACCTACGTCATCAAACTGCTAGCCTACACAATTGCCAGTGACGGACATGAGACTGTACAGGACGTCAGAACCACCTCAAAGCCAGGTACGGGCCAGAGTAGTTTAGATTTGCAAATTAACAGGGAACCATTAACCAAACTGAACATCTGTTGAAAATATATTTGTGCCGTTAATGCTCACATGCTGGTGTTGGAGAGAACCCCAGCTAAAAGGCGATTCACAAGAGTGACTTTTGGTAATGGCTCAAAGGCAGAGTATAGACCTTACGCGTTAGGGCGGACTTAGAGGGCAATGATTATATTTCACTGGGATGGGGGTGAGTAAACCTTTGTGTATAAGGCCAAAAAAAATATATTCGGTCTCTGGTCAGACCAAAGTTCCGGAATTGACGCGGCCACGCGGCTTTTTTTTTTTTTTTTCTTCAAGCTTGGATTGTACAGACAAGATGGGGTACTATTTTGTTTTTTGGTGTCCTCATGTACATTGGTGTCCTCCATAATTTGCCTTGGTGCTTTCGATCATTTGCCTTGGTGCAATTTCCCATTCCTTGGTGCTCTTTGGTGAAAAAAAATTGAGGAGGTGCGGAAATAGAGGGCGCTGTTGGAGCTACCGCGGAACATTTTGAAAAAAAAAAAGATGGACGCGCATGATTAAAATCGACGCGCGCGCTGACCAGAGACCGACTTATTTTTTTTTGTGGCCTAACAGAGAACACACGTCTGAGAAACATGCAACACATAAATCTCCATAAGGTCTGCAGCAGTGCGTAATCACCGACTTACATACCACATGGAGGGTTGATGCTCTGCCAAACCTCAAAAGCCTCTCCCTCCCCTTGCATTGTGCGATTTGGGACCCTGCATTTTGAGATTTACATGTGTGCTGTTGCTTCTTGGAGACATGTACAAAGCCGTGGTTAAAACACGTGGACAAATTCATGTGTGATGGGATGAGTTAAAGCCGGTTAAGCTGTACCCGATAAGCGAGGGAATTTGTTGCCTATATCCACGGATAATCTCCCTGTAAATCAATACGAGCTTTGGAGGATTATGGAGGAATTCTCCCCCTAATACCCCAGCTCAAAAGGTTTTTAACTGTGACAGCATTATCCAAATCTCACTTAAGCCTTCAAAATATTGATGGTTGGGGTTTTAGCAACACTCTGGAAGTAACACTGATATTTATGTGGGGGGCTTTGGTCCAATGGTTACGGTGTTTGACTCATGTGCCGTGGTACATGGGTTCAAATCCTGATCGTGGGAACATGGTGCTTAAGTGCTCTTGATGAGCAAGGCACTTGATCATTCTTGCTTCGTTTATCGGATGGGACGTAGAGCCGTAGGTCCAGTGAGTTGTGTAATGGATGTTTAAGAATCCGGTAACACTTATCGCTAAGGCCAAAAAAAAAAATAAGTCGGTCTCTGGTCAGCGCGCGCGTCGATTTTAATCATGCGCGTCGATCTTTTTTTTTCCAAAATGTTCCGCGGTAGCTTCAACAGCGCCCTCTATTTCCGCCCCTCCTCAATTTTTTTTTTACCAAAGAGCACCAAGGAATGGGAAATTGCACCAAGGCAAATGATCGAAAGCACCATGGCAAATTATGGAGGACACCAATGTACATGAGGACACCAAAAAAGCAAAATAGTACCCCAACTTGTCTGTACAATCCAAGCTTGAAGAAAAAAAAAGAAGCCGCGTAGCCGCGTCAATTCCGGAACTTTGGTCTGACCAGAGACCGAATACTTTTTTTTTTTGGCCTAAGAGAAATGGTTTCTTGCAGTGGCTGCCTCATGCGCCGCAGCACCTTGAATGCCTTTTATAAAGGTGCTACATAATGGGTCTCATATTTCTCATAAACTTCATTTACCTGTCGTTAAAAATAGACATAATTACCAGTGAGTACCTAATTGTTGGTAGATACGTGTGCTAAATAAAAAAAAATTCATAGAGGTGATACAAATGTTGACATATATACAAATTAAATGTACATGCATACACACAGAGATTTTTTTTATGTAAATTGCCGACCACTATTTCAAAGACCACTGCAAACGAGAAATAAATTATGGTCATTCTTCATTTAAGGGTCCAAAGTGTGCCATTTCTCTTGTCCCCGTTGCCTGGGGGAGGGAATGAATTATGTATTTTGTCAGTGAGTAAACGATATTTCTTTTAAATTATTGCTCACTCAAACAGAGGGCAGAAATTGTAGATTGATTTTCTTAGAGGCGATACATATTCGATGCAAATGAAATGTGCACAGAAAGATTTTTTTTTATGGAAATTGCCAACCACAATTTCAAGGGCCACTGCAAGGGAGAAATAGATTTTGGCCATTCTTAAGATAGGGTCCAAAGTGTAAGACATTTTTTCCTGTCCCTGTTGACTTGGTGTTTTGTAGTTCGCCATTCAAGTATCATTAAGAATGACTGCAAAGCCATTTTGTTTATTTGTTGGGTTAGGTAGATGGCTATTCGTAACCACTCTCTCGGACGACTGCATTAAGGAGTGCATCAGAATTATAAAATCACAGATGTCAGATGTAACAGGGACCTACGGCAAAAAACGTGGATCCCGAATTTTATAGAATGACCTGCATACATATTTCATAGAATTTTGAATTTACAGATGTTTTCTTTCCTCCCCTTGCCCCCTTTCCTTGCCGTCTGTTTTTCGCAGGCGTTCCTAACCAGTTCCTCGAGTCCCCCACCAGTCTGGCTGTGCAGTCCCTCAGCTCCCGGGCCGTGAGGCTGAGCTGGCAGGCGCCGGTCACCAACCAGCTGGTCACTGGCTACATCGTGCGCTACTGGCCGCAGGGGAACCGGTCGCAGACGGAGCTGCCCATCCAACTGGACCTAGAGTGAGTGCAGTCCGTGGTATTTTAATTTTAACCCCCATGCAACAGAAACAGTGATGTAGTTAAGTCCGTCATGAGCTCATCGCAAGGTCTGGTCGGAGACGTATTGCAAGTCAGCTCACAAGTGGATGAACACGTACGCAGGCTATTTATCGAATCCCCCGCGGGCCAATATGTGGATTGGGTTTTCAGTCCCTGCCTGAGTTTGTGGGTTTTCCTCAGAATATTCCTCTGGGCTTTTCCTCCCACCTCTAAAACTGTCATTTCTTATCATTGTCTCCCTACTGGTTTCTTTAGGCTTTCGAGCTACAGTGCCTAGGGCACTTTTGAGGAATCCTTGGTTTCATTACCAGAAAGAAATAAAATTTAAAAAAAGAAAGAGGACCGCCCGTGTCACAGTTCATTTGAAGAGCTTGTGACTTGACTTGGGACAAGGGCGGATCCAGAACACAATTTTGGGGGGGGGCCAAAAAAAAATTTGGTCCCCGCCAAAAAAGTGGGTCTAAAAAATTACGGCGTGGGGTTCGGGGCCCGTGAGGGCCCCGAAAATTTTTTGGATTCTAGATGCTCTGTGGTGCGATCTGAGGCAATTTCTGACCACTTTAACCAATTTTTTTTGAGGAAAAGATGGTGGTGTACTCATTGCCTGCCTTTATTGCGATGTCACATTAAAAAAAAAAAAATTGGTTTCGTTTTGGGGGGGGCCATGGCCCCCTTTGGCCCCCCCCTGGATCCGCCCTTGACTTGGGACTGGAGGTCTTGCGATGGACTTGTGATCTACTTCAACATTACTTGCGAGGACTTTTAGTGGACTTGACTAGAACACTGGTCAGAATTGTCTCTGCAGAACACCAAGCATCTACCTCAAATTTGTCCACATTGATTGTGCAATATCCAACAGTTATTATTATTTTTAACTTCTGGTAATGAAACCAAGGATTCCTCAAAAGCGCCCTTGGTCCTGTAGCTCGCAAGCCTGAAGTATTCTGTAGAGAGGAGACAGTGAGAAGAAATTACAGTTTGAGAGGTGGGAGTAAATCCCCAGAAGAATATTCTTGGGGAAAACCCACGGATTCAGACAGTGACTGAAAACCCAATCCACATGTTGGCCCAGGCGGGATTCGAACCCGGGTCACAGCGGTGGAAGGCGAGGAAAGTACCGCTACGCCAACCTGACCTGATAGAATAAGTTATCCGTCCTTAATTGTTTTTCTTTGGAAACACCTGAACATGATAGCATCTGGACACCTTTGTTTTCAACCACCGAATTGAGAATCAGTAACGCTTGACAGTTCAGCCCACACTTTTGAAAAACAAAACGCACTGAAATCATTAGATAATTATTTCATGCACCACCACCCACATCTTGATAAAGGATCAAAGGAGACAAAAAGGACAGAAAAAGCTTATCAGATTTCTGATTTGTGGCTCCTATAGCAAGCCTAAATTGCTTATTATCTTACACCTTTTATGTTTTTTGTTTAATTATTAAAAACAAAATTACAAAATGTGAAATACAACCCCAAGCATCTGGAGAATCACTAGGAAGTTTGATATTTGAGACCATCCTTGTGTACAACACCGGGATTGCATTAAGAATAATAATTTACGTTTTGTCTTCTGAATATACACCTTGGGAATTGTTAACATGATTGAAATTGGTTATTGTATGTTAATGGATGGTGTCGGAGGGTCATGTGGGTTAAATGTCATGCAAAGGAAATTCATTTCACCGAGATTTTCACATTTTCAGGTGCTCTTGCAAGATGCCAGCGGCTTCTGTATTAAGGCCCAAAAATTTCAGGGAAGCTTGACGGATGGAAATTCTGTATTTATTGTGATTAATTTTTTTTCTTCCTTTTCATCTTTTTAAAAAATTTGGTTAACAGGAAGAATAACAGCATCAGTGAGTTGATCTTGGAAGGTCTGGACCCCTTCACCACGTATGTGTTTGATGTGTGCTCAGTCAGCACAAAGCTGTCGGGACCGTTCTGTGACGCCAGAGTTGCAAAAACCTTAGAAGACCGTAAGTTTGACACTTACACAGAATTTTTTTTTCTCGCCTTCCACCTCGGTGGCCCGGGTTCGATTCCTGCCATGGCCCACACTCGGATTGGGTTGTCAGTCCCTACCTGATTCCGTGGGTTTTTCCCCCAGAATATTCTTCTCGGGTTTTCCCTCCCACGTCTAAAACTGAAACTTCTACAGTGTCTTCTCCCTGCAGTTTTGCTCGATAGCTGATGCTCTTTCTGAAGAAAAAAAAAATGGAATGTACCAAGCAGTAGTTTCCTTCTGCTAAGTGCCTCTTATGAGGAGCCCATAAAAGTCTGACTGATATTATTGATGATTTCCTTCCTTCCTTCCTGTTACCAAAAATAAAGGCCGACTTGTCGGCCTTCACTACAAGTCTTGGTTAATAAACAATTTCGTTGAAGGCCTTCCCTTGTTGACTGTGGAAATCCGTTCATTCCTTATGTAAACTCAATGCTATCGTTGAAGGCCTTCCCTTGTTGACTGTGGAAATCCGTTCATTCCTTATGTAAACTCAATGCTTTCGTTGAAGGCCTTCCCTTGTTGACTCTGGAAATCCGTTCATTCCTTATGTAAACTCAATGCTATCGTTGAAGGCCTTCCCTTGTTGACTGTGGAAATCCGTTCATTCCTTATGTAAACTCAATGCTATCGTTAAAGGCCTTCCCTTGTTGACTCTGGAAATCCGTTCATTCCTTATGTAAACTCAATGCTTTCGTTGAAGGCCTTCCCTTGTTGACTGTGGAAATCCGTTCATTCCTTATGTAAACTCAATGCTTTCCTTGAAGGCCTTCCCTTGTTGACTGTGGAAATCCGTTCATTCCTTATGTAAACTCAATGCTTTTGTTGAAGGCCTTCCCTTGTTGACTGTGGAAATCCGTTCATTCCTTATGTAAACTCAATGCTTTTGTTGAAGGCCTTCCCTTGTTGACTGTGGAAATCCGTTCATTCCTTATGTAAACTCAATGCTTACGTTGAAGGCCTTCCCTTGTTGACTGTGGAAATCCGTTCATTCCTTATGTAAACTGAATGCTTTCGTTGAAGGCCTTCCCTTGTTGACTGTGGAAATCCGTTCATTCCTTATGTAAACTCAATGCTTTCGTTGAAGGCCTTTCCTTGTTGACTGTGGAAATCCGTTCATTCCTTATGTAAACTCAATGCTTTCGTTGAAGGCCTTCCCTTGTTGACTGTGGAAATCCGTTCATTCCTTATGTAAACTCAATGCTTTCGTTGAAGGCCTTCCCTTGTTGACTGTGGAAATCCGTTCATTCCTTATGTAAACTCAATGCTATCGTTGAAGGCCTTCCCTTGTTTACTGTGGAAATCCGTTCATTCCTTATGTAAACTCAATGCTTTCGTTGAAGGCCTTCCCTTGTTGACTGTGGAAATCCGTTCATTCCTTATGTAAACTCAATGCTTTCGTTGAAGGCCTTCCCTTGTTGACTGTGGAAATCCGTTCATTCCTTATGTAAACTCAATGCTATCGTTGAAGGCCTTCCCTTGTTTACTGTGGAAATCCGTTCATTCCTTATGTAAACTCAATGCTATCGTTGAAGGCCTTCCCTGGTTTACTGTGGAAATCCGTTCATTCCTTATGTAAACTCAATGCTTACGTTGAAGGCCTTCCCTTGTTGACTGTGGAAATCTGTTCATTCCTTATGTAAACTCAATGCTTTCGTTGAAGGCATTCCCTTGTTTACTGTGGAAATCCGTTCATTCCTTATGTAAACTCAATGCTTTCGTTGAAGGCCTTCCCTTGTTTACTGTAAAAATCTGTTCATTCCTTGTTACGTAAACTCAATGCGTCTGACTTGCCAATTTTGTTTTTATTCAGCCTCATTGCTGGTACATGTATACATCCCATTTTTAGCTGCAGGATAGCAGTTCAACAAATCATCATGTCTCTCTGTTAGTCCGTTAGTTAGTAAGTTAGTAACAAACGTGACATTGTCGATCGCTCCTACATATTTTGACCGATTTCAACCAAACTATGTCAAAAGTATCAGTAGCCCAGCCTTAACATATCACATGACCAAACTAGGGTCAAAGGTCATCATGGGGTCACTGGGGTCAAAAAGCTGATTTTTTTTTTGTTTTACTCAAAACACTTCTCCTTCCAGAAATTACATGGCACAGTCACGTGACTCGTACGTGAATACAATATCGTTGGCCCCGCAGCTTCCGAGATATCTCTGATGATCTGATCAAACTTTTCTTTTTCTTTTTTTAGTAACCAGAAATAAATAATCAATCTGTTGTTAATATCTTTCATTAGAAATTTACTTTCAGCAATTGGTTCCTTTTTTTGAGAGCTGAATTGTACTTTTCAGTTGTTGAAACAAAATGGCACATTCCAACAATTCCTAATCAGGAACCGATTATTCTGTTTATGACTTTTGAGACAACTGAAATCTCACCCAGCGTTGTCTTTAAAGCCATGTTTTCAACAATTGAACCTGTAGTAAAAAAATACTCCGAGTGCAATCAAATTTCGGGCGCAAAGTTCTGTTGGTGATAACTAAATCTAACATCTTGATGAAGGAAAAATAGGAGGTAAAGTTACCCATTACCTGAAAGGTCATCCCTCGGTCTTTCCTTGAGTTACATTCTCAATGATGCGCGTAGTTGTATCAAGTAACATTATCTTATTTCCGCACGGTCAATATCATTAGCATTATTTTGGTTGAGTACTTCACTAACTATGTACTACACATGCAATGGACTCTGTGCACGAACACTAGGTGGCGCTTTTCTGGCCACTTTGAAGAGCTCCAGTGGGGATGCACACCACGTAAGCGTACTGGTTCATGCTAGTGCTGCACAAAGTATGCATGGCTAACCCTGCTGCTATCTGAACTGCCACAGACAGTCAAAAAGTCAGTCCTCCTCCCCTGACATGCCTTTTACACAGGCTAGTCACCAACAGTCAGATCACATTTCAAGCAAGCACTGTGACTAGTCAAATTCAGTCCAACGACAAAAACAGGGAAGTGGTGGGCACAGCTGGCTTGTCAATCACCTACAGTCAAAGCATAGAAGTATCAAGTTACATGTAAACATGTAGATGGAAGTATTCAAAGTCAGACAATGGACTATTTTGAAACAGACCAATAATTGTGCACAGCTTTACAAAATAAATCCTGTTGCATTGGGAGTGACTACGCACATTAAGCAATCAGGATAGAGCGTTTCTACTTCAACAATGCATTGGTAAAATTGACCAATGAGAGGAGCACATTTGACTCATTAATATGTATATGTTAATTTTTCAAAACAAAAATTCCACCTGTTTTTAGGCCCGTCCACCCCTCCCGAGGACATCCTAGCCAAGCCCCTGGACCCCCACGCCGTGGAGCTTCAATGGCAGCCCCCTATGCAGCCCAACGGTATCATCACCCACTATGTCATCCTGTATGATGAGGACGTCAGCAAGCCGGAAGACACATGGCACTCACAGGCCAGAAATGGTAAGAAAATGAACAAAAAATCTGTTGAATGCAAAATGATAAAATGGTAGATTACGAATCATTCAAAGTATAGATTGCGGGGGCGCCTGCTGCTATGTGCTCTGTGAGCGCACAAGAGAGGGCGCTTTTTGATGGGACACACCGCATACGCGTACTGGTTCATGCGCATATAGCGCTAAGTACGCATGACTAATTCTATAGGTCTCTCATAAAGACGGCCATCTCGGTAGGAGAACTGCAAGATCAAGCACGCATTGCGCAGTGTTGAAAATGTTTCAAACACGCGCGCTTGTTGCTCAAAATGTGTTCGAAATACGACGCAGCCGATGCGCGTTATGCAAGTTCACGCTCAAAATGCCGATGCACGTGTCTGGTCTGTAGGAAATGACGTCATTTGAGAGAGTCCTGTTCTGAATGTGCAAAAAGCCATTGCGTCTTCACGTTGGCGTCGGGCGGCGACGGCAGTGCATTCGATTGTCTCTCCTAGTGGTCTTCCCCAACTCTCCCTTTCTTACCATTGAGGGGGTACTTGTGCACGGAGAGCCCATGGACCAATCCAGATGCTCCGTCACTTCAATCACGGAGGCCCGTATAATTTGTTTTGGAAGTTAGAAAATTGGTGTGTTAATGAATTACTCACACGGGGATTCGTTAGTCATAGGAAGTAATTTCATAAAACGCCAGTTATGATCAGTGTGAGGGGCCCTTAATATCTTGTATCCATTGACTCATATAACTTTGAAATTAAAATTCAATGTTGGCTCCCTGCCAGAACTTCTGAGCACGCTTTGTATGGCCTTTAATGGAGGCCAATGAGAGGCACTGTCATGAATTTGTCGCTAATTTTTTGTGACCCCACGCGCAAGCCAATCTGAGTCGACTTTTAAAAATTGTGATTCGCGTGTCTGAAAGTGAATCTATCCACGTGAACATAATACTAGCTTTCATTTGAAAATTTTTAACTTAATATAGTTTGTAATTTGTGGCACTGCTCACCCTGGGCATGGCACACAATGGAAAATTGTACTCAACTTGCCTCACAGTAAATTAGGCTGCTTCTCTTTTTTTGAGCGCAAGAACGCTACACGATGAATGGGATCGTAGGACTGTCGTGACCCATAGTATTAACTCACTTTCATTGAATGTATGGTTACATCACTGGTTATCCATCTAGAGCCACATGAATTGTACTACACACAGCAGAGAACCAGCTGCAGGACTTTGAATGCTTTGAACCGTAGTTTGTCTTATGACCCTCTCACAGTAATAGCATGCCAAAAAAAGCACAATGGTATCCTGTACTTGTATGGCCCCCTTGCACAAGTACCCCCTCAACGGCAAGAAAAGGAGAGTTGGGGGACACCACTGGAAGAAACATTCGAACGCATTGCCGAGACATTCAAACGCGAAGACGTCATGGTATTGTGCACATCCAGAATAAAACTAGTCGTGTGTATTTCGTACTATACGCGCGCAAACCAGTACACGCATGCGGTGTACGTGTCCCGTCTACGGGACTCTTAAGTGTGGTAAATGAGCGCCCTCTCAGTTTGCGCGCGGAGCCCATTGAGCAGCTCCGCGAAATAGGCACCTTTTGTATTGCACATAACGCTTGGAATTTGAGAGAAACTTACAAAACAATCACTTGCCTTTGTTCCCACATATTGAAAATAAAACTTCTAACCTCTTGCTGTTTGATTTATTTATTTCTAACCCTCCCCCCCCCCACCCCTCCCAACAGGCACCGCCCACCACTCGACTGTGGATGGCCTAGCCAGCGATACTAAGTATTACTTCAAGGTACGGGCTGGCACTCAGGTGGGAGAAGGCCCCCCAACCAACACTGTGGCTGCTCAGACGCTGACTGCTAAGACAGGTATACAGATCATGCAATGAGTACAGGCTGTGTCGAAGTCTGTCTTACAGGGTTCCTACAGTCATGAAAAAAAATCCTGATATTCCTAGAAAAGTCGTGGAATCCTGGACAACTCATACGTGATGATTCGTAATATTTGGCTTTGGCAGGCGTCCAGTTTGCATTAGAGATTACTATACTTCCCCCTGTATGCATGTGTACGCTGTATGCTTGTTGGACATGTATGTTCAATGCACCATGGTCTGATGCTTTTGTGGTGCTCAGTGGTCTTGTGTCAAACTGGAAAGCTGAAAGGGAGTGGCGTGCCTTGCCACTTGCGTGGAAATTGCTCATGGAAAGCCCTGATTTCGTCCTGGAAAAAATGTGGAAAAGTCAAGGAATTTCATTTTAACATTGCTGTGGGAACTCCGGTCTTTAGACTTTGGTTTTTTCAAAATAAGGGTGGATCATTTGGGAAACTGTGAAAGTTCATACTGAGGGAATTTCGTAGTTTATGCTTCCTGTCTGAAAATGATGAAAAGAATTTGTTTCTTTATAATCTGTTAGATTTTGAGAGTCACTCATTATTTTTCTCCCTCGGTGTAGGTGTAGGCAGCAAGCCGTGGCAGGAGAGCATGCTGATTGGTGTCTGCTCGGCGTTCGTCCTGATTGTGATGCTAGTGTTTGTTGTCATCTGCAAGAAAAGGTCAGAACGATTACATAACTAGTGACAAGTGAAAAGAATTCTATGTACGAGTTTCTGTTTTCCTCCAATAATTCCCAAAATTTCGTAAAAACATTGGTAACTTTGCAAAACCTGGCTAGAAATATTTAGAGGCCTTCTCCTTCCCCAGTAAAAAAAATATTACCTTATTTCCTCACAAAACTGCTCTTAAAAGTAGCTCATTTAACCCTAACCCCTTGGGGTATTTTGGATAGAAAACTCTGCTGAATGCAGCAACATGTAACACTTGTCAAGATGACAAGCCTGCTCAGTGTAGGCTTAACTGCCTCGGAGTCTTGTGGTTGCCAACTACAGCAGGATACAACTGTGGCATTGTTCAATGGGACTAGCCGTCATTGTTTCAATTGTCAACAAGCCTCAGAGTCTGTGGTTGCCAACTGCAGCCAGGATACAACTGTGGCATTGTTCGATGGAACTAGCTGTCGTCATTTCAGAATCCTTCATTTAGGCACTGGCGTTGATGGCTGAATGCAGCAAGGTCCCACAGCCTTTACACTTGAAAAACTGTGTTGGGTGCGGCAGGGTTTAGGGTGAAGCTGTAGCCAAGCATTGATTTGGAAAAAGTCCGAAGTGAACGTGCATCTGATCAAGAGCCAAGTATCATCAAATCACAGCCTGGGTTTCTCTGTGGACTTTTGTGGTTTGACCGTTGAGTCACCCGTTGAAATGACAATTCCTCGTGGAGCCTAATCTTTTGCACTTGTCAGATCAAGTCAGAAATTTTAATGCGTGCCCATTCATGACTCGTGAAAAGAAAGAAGAAAAAAAAACCACAAGAAACCAATCAAGTTGGCAAGAGTCAGTTGAGTCACTGTCATATTAAACTTTAACCACAAAAACTGGGAAACAATCCCGACTGGAGATGAGTCAGAAACAAAGCTTGGCGTTAGCAGCGGAAGTCGCATCGGATGAGGAGCAGATCGGGCTCACGAGCCTCCTTGAGTGAGCCCGCCACGCACATGGTGTGGCCAGCCTGTGTTGGGATATTAGCCATCCCATTGTTGACTGTCACAGCAGCAAATTCTGCCCAGACTAGCATCGTGATTGACAAAGTCAGAGCTACATGTGCTTGTGATGAATGCTTGATCACATAAGTCTCTCGTCGGCAAACTCATCGAAACCTAGTAACGTGTTCTTGATTCCCGTCGTGAAAGCCACATTATTGGGCCCGATTCGCCAACACCGGACTGTCAAATTTACCCAGCAGGTGTGCCAAGAAGTTTCAACAGGGTTCCCTGCCACTCTGGAAATCAGGGGGAAAAACTTGAAAATGAGTTGAATTTGGGGGAAAACTCAAAAAAAATTAAGGAAAACTCAGGGAAGTGGGGGAAAGCACCAACAAATCGGGAAAGACTCAGGGAAGTTGAATTGGTTTATATCTCCCCGTTTTTTTTAACGTCCACACTCACAGGGGTCTCCTTAAGCAAGCCCACCCCAACGCGTCCTGCCACAACCACACCGGCGGTGCCAACAGCGCGGTGTGCACGGGCTACGCGGCCAGGCCCAGCCCCGACGGCAGGATGTACGTCATGGGGTCCGGGGACGGCACGGAACAGAACGGCTTCATCCCGATGAGGTCGGTGCTTCCGCAGCCCAGCAACCTGGACACAAAGGTTAGAGAGCGGATCTCATCAAATATTGCCGGAAATAATTCATCAAAAAATCAATTTCATAATGATTCCTGAACGATCAGTAGGTGCACATGACTGCTTGTAGCCTTTTGATCTCATCAAAATTGCTTGGAAACAGTTCATCATAAAATCATTTTCATAATGATTCCTAACGATCAGTGTGTGCACATGACTGCTTGTTGCCTTTTGATCTCATCAAAATTGCCGGGGAAAAAATCATCAAAAAATCAATTTCATAATGATCAGTGTGTGCACATGACTGTTTGTAGCCTTTTGATCTCATCAAAATTGCCGGGGAAAAAATCATCAAAAAAATCAATTTCATAATGATCCATAATGATCAGTATGTGCGCATGACTGCTTGTAGCCTTTTGATATCAAAATTGCTGGAAACAATTCATCATAAAATCATTTTCATAATGATTCATAACGATCAGTGTGTGCACATGACTGCTTGTAGCCTTATGATCTCATCAAATATTGCCGGAAACAATTCATCACCATAAAATCAATTTCATTATGATTCGTAATGATCAGTGTGTGCACATGACTGCTTGCAGCCTTTTGATCTCATCAAAATTGCCGGAAACAATTCATCAAAAGATCAATTTCATAATGATCCATAATAATCCGTGTGTGCACATGACTGCTTGTAGCCTTTTGACAATGCCATCATGAAAATGTGACTCAGTGATAACACAGATTGATAGAGTCCTTTTGCACTTGGTCAGAATTTCTAATGTTATTCTGTATAATTTCCCTCCCCTTTCAGGTGGCGAAATGACTGAATAGTGAAATAATGAGTTTACAGAACAAAACGAAAGAGTATTTAAATACGCTGTTCTGGTTTAGGCTTCATTATTTAAAGGGAAAATACAACATTTGCAAACATCAAAAAATAAAACTACCAAATCATTTTGAAATACCTTGCTGGACTGTTAGTGAATGACAGTGTAAAGCATCCTGAAAAATCATGGCACCTGGTATACTGTCATTTTCAAGAAAAGTGGTATTTTTGTATCAATTTCCAACGCTGATCGGCCGATCAGCGTTGGAAAAAAACTGGCTTTTTTCAAATACTGGCCCCAGTTGACCATCGCACTTGTTTGCAATCGATTACACACCTATGAACGGGTACAAGCCAGCTAGACTGGTTCCCTGACCTTACAATTCTCCAATGTATGTAAACTGCTCTGTTTCTTCTTAAATGGAGTCAGGGAACCAGACTACAGGAAAATGATTGTTTTTCTTGTTTTTTATAGCATTTTCGAACCCAAAACCTCAAAAAAGTCAGTGTAACTATATTTGCTATATATTTCCAACCCCCCAATTCCATCCATTTCTGAAAATTACAGCAAAAGCAAATGATGTATATTCTCTTTAAAGCAGCAGTTGAGTGCATTTTGAAAGCGCTCAGAGATGTTCTAAAGTACATGGGCGACTGTTTCATTATAACAATCATCAAAAGTGTTGACTCGCTAAAACTTTCCCTTTCTTGTGATTAGGGCGGCACCCCTCTGATCATCAACGGCAACGGTCCCGTCCGGTCCCACTACCATCACCACGGCCCCGCCGGTGGGGTGGGTATGGTCATCCCCTCCCGGTTCCCCAGACCCCCGGGACCGTGCAGCGCTGACCCCGATGCCTCCAGTATGGCACTCCTCCCCGGCAGCGAGAGCGTCACTAACTCTGACTTGGGGGAGGACAACTCTCAGGTAGGCACTCAAAGGCAGGAGAAGCGAAAGAGGAGGGTTTTAGGGGCTTTAAAGCAGCCTTTGGAACAACCTCGACGTAGACCTATTTGACGTCCAAATTTAGAAGCCATGACTCAGTTGGTACCACGCTCACAAGCAGGTGGCACAAGCGCGGTTTAGTGTTCCTTTGACCAGTAGCGTTTTCAGATTACATCGTGCCACACATTATGAAAGCATGGTATAATGTAGTCTTGAAGTACCACCTATTTCCAATGGCCCTCTCTCTGTAACCAACATCTCATATATATCTGAGCAATGCAAATTTTTTGCGACCCCGCGCGCAAGCCAATTGAAGTCGACTTTTAAAAATTGTGATGTCATTTTGATCAGAAATGTGGACTAAGCTGTTAATTGGTCAATTTGGCTGCCATGTTTTGTGTAATACAACAACAGGTTACCGAAGACCCGATATAGAAGGCGCCCACTGAATGATCAGAATCTCGAGGTCAAGACGCAGTCTAGTTGCATAATTAATTGCCGAATCTGCTCGCATATCGTAGACCCTTGCTGTGCAGGGGATATTCCATAGACTACAATCCCGGCCAAAATGGTCGGGACACTTGGAAATAACCTTAACTTCCAACGGTCACCAAATCCCCCGCTCCCCCGGTCAATGTTGTTCTCTCCAGCGGATGGAGCACACACCGCGCAATGAGAGACAACATTGAACGGGGGCTGGGGGGTTTGGGGGCCCAGCGAGATTTGGCCAGGATTGCAGGTATAGTGCGCATGAGAAGTAGCAATCCCAAGATTAGTCTCAAGTGGACTCCAGAGCTGGTTTCTAATAATTACAAGTCATTTACTATAAAATTTTAAGTCAAACCACATACACCGAGAGGTGAACAATGACAAAAGAAATGCCCCAGTCACTTTTCACTTGAATTGCCTGTCATTTGTTTGGACTCTGGACTTGTGATGTAAAATATGATTTCCTTGAAAATTGAGTGGCAAAGCACACAAATTTGATTTTTTTTTTTTTTTTTTTTTACAAATCCGATGAATGTGTTCACCTCATGCATGAATCTTGTAAAAACAAAAAATATTAATGTTTTGTTTTGTTCTGCAGGGCAAATCAGAAGCCAGCAGCAGTTCCGGCGGCTTCTCCGCATTCTCTCAGGATCCTAACCACCGCACAGTGGCCAAATTACCTCATTGCAGTAGCTGTTGCCTCGGCCCCTGTCCCCAGCTCTCCGATTCCTCGACGGGTTCCTACGGCGAACCCATGATGGGGTCAAAGGTCACCAGGGTACTGCCCTCCTCACCATCGCCACCATCACCACAACAACCTCTCCCACAATCTCAGGGTGTCTGCCACGCCGCGCATACGGGTGTTAATATTTGCGGCGGTGGCGGCGGCAACGGAAGCTGCGAAGGCTCAGGGTCCAGCGGGTATTATTCAGACGGGAGGTCGCCGCCGGGCTGTCGCTCCTCGCCCCCGGCCCCCGGCCTGCCCAGGAACGAACTGACGTGGCCCAGACACACGGGCCGAGTTCTGGGCAAGGCCGAGGGGACAGGGGGTAGAACAGGACCGTCATCTGTCTGGGAGAAGCAGACTGTCAGTGACGGGGTCATCAGTCCCAGCGGGCAGAGCACCAACGCTGCGCCGTCGGCCTGCGCCAGCAGCAACGGAGCCCTCGGGGATCACGGGTCAACGGATCCCGAGTCGTTGGGGCAGGACACCAGCCCGGACTTCCTCGACCGCGTCCTGGACGAGTTAAGCTCAGGGTCTTGTTCAACCACTGTCTAAGAAGGAGAGAAAAAGACAAAAAAATGCGCAGAGATGACGAAGAGAGAGAGAGATAAATTTATATAACCGATCTACCTGATATGTACCATTGTACATTGTATTTGGAGTATCAGTTTGGTGCCGCAATTTGTGTGTTTGGCATAAAACAATACACTTGCTCAGGACCATGCCATTCACCAGGGCACAAATCAAACTGAAATTGTTTTTGTATTAAAAAATGAAGAACTATTAAACCGACACACGGCCGATGGACAATATGCGAGACCGGCCAACTTAGTGGATTGGCGCCGCTATTTCGGACTCCACAAGAGAGTGGAAGTTTTGCAGACAGCTGAGAATATGTTTAAAGGTTAAACAAACACCACATTTGCATTGATGATGTGAAACAGTAATTTAAAGGAAACTCCCGGTGTGTTTTTGTAAACCGCCGGAAACTGTGCGACGTTTCGCCGAGTGAAAGGGACGAAAGGACAAAACTTGAAGCCGCACGCCTGATCTGACCTCCCAGAAATCACTACGGGTTTGAAGTAGTGACCTCTTCATAGCTGCTATTGTTACATGTCCAGATGGAATGTACATCTATTTACTGAAATTTGTATTATTATTATTATTACTATTATTATTATCGTTTGCGTTGTTTTTGCTTTTAATGTAAATGTATTAATTTGATTTTTTTTTTTATTTTAGGTATTAATATGTATTTATCATGTTCAGTTTGAAGTCGGGTTGTTCTGTGTATCACAAGGATTGAATGGTAAATCCCTACGCGGGCAAGAAATTTTTCATCAGTGAAATCTCAATTTTTAGAGATTGAGTCTCGTTTTGGCTTGTAAGAGTAAATATTAACTGCGGGTATATGTGGACAACTCCTCAATTCATTTTCAAGAGGAGTGAACAACTTTCCCCGATCCGTGCCGAAATTTTGGGAAAGTTTACGCAAGAGTATTCAAATGAAAACATGAAATAACCATTTTTGTGCTGCTAAAATTGTTATTTATTTATAAGCTTGTTTGGTTGACGTTTCGGGGTCTTCTGTTTCATAACAGTATTTGTGATTCGGGAAAAAAACAAGTATCTCATGGATTCTGCTTAATATTCTACCTGCCAATCACTTTGCGGTGAAGACAAAGTTGGTTTATAACGGACGGGTTTATAGCCAAGGTGGCATTGCTTAGCTGCGCTGATCTACATGATCTATTCAGATATACTACCGGAGTGGAAGTTTGTAACTGTCTGATATAATTTATCACTTTCTATTGATTGTATTAATATGCCAAGAAAAAAATTGAGGAAAAAAAAAAGTTGCGCATTAAAAGTGTGAAAAACATCTAACATTGGTGCAGATGCTGCCAAATTGAAATATTGAACTGCAGAAAGCAACATATCAAGATGCGTAGGGGAGTCCTTTTTTGTCCCCCCAAAAAATTTACCTCTATCATAAGTTTTCCCATATCATTTAATCACAATCGTTTTGATTGTGAACTTCGTGCCTAGTGCCTACAACACGCAATCTTTCACGGTCGCGGTGGGGATTGTGTGGGACAAAACTTGTATTACCTCAAAAATTTGTAGTTAGCAGAGACGCTCCGTTTGTTTATGAGAGGTGTGGTATTCAAGCATAATCTACTCGTGTTTATTGCAAGTTGTTGAAATCCGTGAAGCATGTCCATTCCCCTTGGAGTTGTTCAAAGTCGACGTTCGGATGAAGTTACAATAACCAGCAAACGATATATTCTTGATGCCAGTGAAATCTTCAATAATACTTGAACCGTATCGGCAATAGAGCGTGCGAGTTGGCCTCAAAACCTGCAAGATTTTACGGGAATACAGTACATCCTGGTATCATTATATGATCCATGATGTGTAACATCCTACTTTTTTGGCAATAATTTTGCGTTCCGACTAGGCTTATCCAGTCAAGGGTAACAGACGGACTCTGCGAAGGGAAAGAAATCATAACAATTTATAAGATATTGGAAATACTGCACAATTGATGAGAATAGCACAATGAAAACTGTTGACCTCAACTTCCGTTTAATCAATCACGCTGATATATACGGGAGTCTGTGACTAGACTAGTCAGTGTTTGGTACCGAGACGTTCACGTGGAAAGCGAGCGTGAATTAGCGAGACTCGCACCCTCTATTGCAAATTTGTTTTCAATCGTCCATGTAGTTGCATTTACAAACAGTCATCTCTTCCCCCGACAAACCTCTTGTTTAGCGGCATCATAAATCCACCCACATGCTCCTAAACTGACTCTTTTTTCAGCGTGTATATACATTTACACATGTAACGGCGGTAATATATCTAAAACAAATCATTGTAGTAATATACCGATTGTTTAAGAAAGAAAAAAAAGTAAAGTTGCATGTTGTGTTCGTTTTGCACCTCTTTACAACTGATATACGGTTTTAGTCATTTTATACACTTTTTGTCTTATTTTTATTCAGTTGTTGTTTATTATTCTTCTTTTTTGGTATGCATCCTTTTCGTTATTTGAGGAAAAGGTTAACTCTACCTCAGAAATTAAAAAAAAGAAAAAGTGTTACATATGCGACTCAGGGAAACATGATGTATGATACATTATTATACAATTTATATCTTAAGAAAAAAAAGCTAAAAAAAAATAACATTGTACAGATAATTGTTCATGTATTCTTTGTCACGTGTTTTATCCACACACACAAAAAGTAGATTTTTTTTTCGGTGACGATATGCTAATGGTTTTTGAATATTCAGGTGCACTTTACAATAGCTTGAGTGTAAAATAGTATTGTAGCGCAGTTTGGATGGGGTCCGTGATGGTAATCAATTGTGGCCGGGTACCGGTATCTCTTCCTCCAAAAATACAAACCTTTCTTGGGGGGGGGGGGGGGGGATAGTTGAAATATATACTCCGCTCTAGAAGTAAATATAATATATCAACAATTTTTGTTGTGGCTCAGAGAGATGAACTCAAATATTCAAACAGTTCTCTGTCAGTTTCGGATAGATATGTCACAAATTTGAAGTTTCGTGGGGATTTTTGTCACCCGGCCTCTATTTTATTGTGAATCCAGCATGTTCCCTGTCCAAGACTGCTTTAGTGCATGCGTGACCACTTTGTGTCTGGTTTGTGGCATTCTCTCATCATCAGGTGTTTGTAAATTTCTTGCACAATTAGAAACACACATCAAAACCGAACTGTATTCAATGACGGGTATTCATGTTTGCCACGGTAGCACTTGTGTATCTTGTACAAACAACAAAATTGTCATCAAGTTTTTCTAACAATGAGAATTAATTTGGCATTGTAATAACTACTGTTCGCTAGTTATTATGAAACTGTAAACGGTTATTCTATTTCAGGTTAATACGCTCTGTTCAAGTGTGGCCCAAGTCCGTCAAGAATTCAAGAATTCAACGATTGTTTCATTCACACTTCTACTTGAAAAATTTACCTCACTTCGATAAAGTAAACGTAAGTCATACTCTGTACAGAAACATTCATATTTTATTCTTTTTTTTCCCCTCACGTTGCAATCATGTAAAGCTGCCCAGCTTTTGATTAAAAACAAACAAACAGTTATATCAGGTGTCTCGGAAGAAAAGAAATGTATTTCTATAATCATTCACGAATCAACTTTTTACAAAAGCGACATATTTATTGCGCCCAAAATGTTCATGCTCGATCACACTTTTGCTAATCGTAATTTTGCTACGTTTGTGAAGTTATGACATCTGCCGTTCTCTCCACAATGTCTTGTTCCAGTCAGGATGATGTAATTACCATATATCAAAGTTAACTTGTACAGCTAATTTTGGAACCTTTTTTTTTAAATTTTTATTTTTTGAATTGTATGTTCTGTTATCAGACCCTGGTACATTGTAATGTGTGCCCTCATTTTTCATCGATCAATGCAGTTTTCTTTTTCTGTGTGTGTTTTGTCTCTTTTTTTGTCTTTTTTTTTTTGAATAAACATCATACACACAACTACCTCAAGAATAGTAAAAAAAAAACAGGTTTATTTGCAAGCCTATCCTAATTTGAGAGCGTAAATTGTATGACACAAATGAATGTCGCACCTGTGTCCATATGAGTTCATTAGAATTGTTTGTTTATTTCTGTTTCTTTTTTCTAGTTTTGTTTTGGGTTGGTTTTTTTGGGGGGGGGGTCTCTGAGATTTTTTCTTCCCAGTTGAACCAAAACCTTGATGCACAAATCATGTTACTTTTATGTTCACATATCCGTTTCAAATATGTGTGTCAAATACGTCCCTGTTATTCCCCTATCGAGATTCAGAGTGATATCCATGTGTATATTGTTTAAGATGTGTTTAAAAAAAAAATAATAATAATTAATTACGTACGTTTTTGTTTCAATGCATTTATCTTCCATAGCATTTGGTGTTATAAAACTGTTACCGTCTCCAAATTGTACCTGTGTCTAGTAACGTAAACCACGATGTAAATAAAGCCCATTGTTTTTAACATCTCTCCGGTTGACTCTGTTGCCGCGTCGACCTGAAGTTTGCCCGGATATTTTTTAAACGCGGAAAGGCTTCCGATTGGCCGCGACTTGTTTTTGTCTTTTTTTTATTTTGTGACGGCCTGGAGGAGGCCAGACGTAAAATACGGGTATAATGTAAAAACAACGGGCCAACATTCAGGTCTTCAACGGCAACAGCGGTCAACTGGATTTCTTTTCTTAAAGTTTACAGTTATTCAGATAAACATGCTTGTTGAGTCCCTTGTTTTGTTCCTTGAATCGTTTACGCGGACCGTTTTTTTCCCCTTTTGGTTTGTATTAAACAGTGAAGTTTGTGGGTTTTTTTTTTTTTTTGGATGAGAGAAGCAGACGTGACATACTAACCTCTATGTACATATTTTTTTAAAAAGCTGATAATATACGGGTGCAGGGGAGTTTGTCTCCTGGCTTTTAAGCGTTTTATTTTAAAAGTGCACGATTGTATGTCAAAACAATCCCGTTTTTATAGGGATTTGTCCAAAAGAAAAAACAATGGTTTTTTTTTTGTCATGTGCTGGTATTACCGGGTTATTAATTTTTGAGGGCAATTTTTGGTGAAAGAAACATGTACATATCTTCTTTCAGAAGTTATTGTCTTAAACATGTGGAAAAAAGGCGGCCTTTAAAAATACAGATACGAATATGTTCAAAATACTGAGGAAATTTGAACATTGTCAAGCAGCAATATGCAACAGATGTTTCATTTTGAGGCAAAGTTTGAGTGAAATAAATTCACCATTTTGTTCCATTTGGGAGGAAATACAAAAAAGGAAAGAATTCATGAATTATAAAAGATGGTCAGAATTAACATATACAAATCTTGGAAGATTTTTTTTGAATTTTTTTTTTTATTTCTTAATCACAGTGTTTGAAGAATGAAAACAAAGCGAAGCGCTTTTTCTGTGTATATATAATAATATATTTATATAGAGACATTAATAAAGTCCTGTAATATATACGATTGTGCCCAAATCATGGAAATTTATTCAGTGATTAGCCATATCAAAAATGAGCAGCTGTTGGAAGTTATTTTGATTGAGACTTAAGACAGAAAAATCATGTCACCTTTTAATAATGTTTTTTATCCCAAAATGGTTTTAGTAATGTTTTATCGAACATTTGTGACGCAAAAAAGAATTGACTTATGCTGCATTTTGATCTAATTCCTGACTTTTTTTTTCTCATTTTAAGAATTTTATTCAAACTGGATTTGTCCAAAACATCTGTTGCATATTTCTGTTGGATTGCCTTTGTCTCGGCTCACTTTGTGTTCAGTGAATGATATCAGAAAGATACTTTTAAGGAAGGTTTTCAAATGTTTTATTGACCTTTATGTCAAGATGAGTATAACACGTCTCAGCACTTTGTCATGTCTTTAGTGTGTCTGTCCCAAGTTGTATGAGGTTGTCACTCATTTTTTTTTTTAAACTTGTGAATTAATTAATTAACGTATGTGTAAGAGTTTTTCCGTGTTTGTTTTAACGATTATAAGTATTATAATTAATCAGGACGTGGTGCATGTGCAGAGGTGACATACACGTAAGCAGCTGGACTCCCTAATGAAAAAGGGGGACAAAAATGACGTGCCATAGTTTGTCCAAATTGTGATCATCAATTAATTACTCAGAGTAGACAAGTGATAGTTCGATTGAGGCGGTGTAGAGAAATACTCGGGCTTATAACGAGCCTTTTTTAAGATGATGGCGATTCGTTGTCCCTTTTTTCGAAGAACATTCTGACCAGTTGGCCAATCTGAAACTAGAATTTTGTCTTTCTTGGCCTTATCTGGACATCATCTCGCAAAATATTCGGCTGAAATAGTTTTCAAAATGGGATGGCACCCCTTAATCAAAAACAAAATTTTGGACATTTGTGGTATTAAGGGCAAAGGGAAAGAGTGCAGGGTGAATATTTTAAGTAACTTTTCCAAATGGAAATTCTTGTACATGTTTAACGACGACAAGATTTTCACGGTCACATTTTAAAAGAGACCTATTTTGGTTTACTTGTCCTTGCACTTCAGCATGTATTGAAAATGGAAATCGTAAAAAATCGAGGTTTTCTTTTTGCTGTAGATTGAAACATTGTTAGCAGCCAAAATTGGTATGATCCATTTTCCCTTTGGCCAAGTTGGAACCATCCTTGTGCCCAACCATTCTTGTTACCCAACTGGGAATGAACTCAGCACCCAACTTCTTTCTCCTCTGTCTCGGGCCGTGTCCGAATCGCTTGGCCACAGCCGGAAATAATGCACGAGTCCATGGCTGCAGCCGCTAGCCAGTGGCTACCATAGGTGCGTGTGCGATTCCCGGTCGTAGCCAAGTGATTGGGATACGGCTCTCTATTATGTAAACAGCCACAAAGCAGTTGGGTTATTTCTACTTCACTACACTGCCTTGTTTTGAAAATTCTAGGCTCCTTTGGGTCCAGCTGGTTTTACTGAATGTTTGCGTACAGCATTACATTACGATTTTTTGTACAGTATAGAAACATAACACGGAGGAAAACAAGAGAGAGAGCAGAGTTTACGACGATAATATTGCTGTTAGCAGTGTTTCTATATATAAATATATATATACGTATTGTCTTACACTAAAAAATAAAACACGCCAGTAATATACGGGTGGATGGAATATTTAGTGTCTTGTGTTCTTTTGTTTTAGTTTTCCTGCACGATATTGAAAAGTGCTACAGCAATTGGTCAGTGTACCAAACATGCCTAAATCAATATTTTGTTTTCCAAGTAAAAAATGCATGAATTTTTTTTTTAAATGTAGAGCATTAAGAGTCGTGAGGACACACTAGCATCATATGGAGGAGGGGACTTGATCTGTTGGATTGCAGACATGACTTACATTGTTTTTTTCGCCTAAAAAATAGATCATGTTGAGCATGTCTGGCATTAAGCAAAATTTTACTTGTTTGTTTGGACACAGTAATGTTGTACAAACCCAACCCGAAACCGAAACTGACCCAACCTGAAACCTTCTTCAAGCCATTTTCGAAAAACCCAAAATAAACAAAAATAAACAGGAGAAATCCCAAAACAGGAAATTCACACGGTGCAATATTAACCCTTACTCTCTGAGGGTAGTTTACTGCATGTCAGTTGGTTATGCCAATGCCCTCCAGCTGCAGTTTATTGGCAGATAGTTTTATTTAACAGTGAAGGCTCCAATTGGCAGGAGTTGGAGGCCCTGGAGGGTGCCTGATACTGACCAGCTGGGGGCACTCACTTTGTTATCAGAGGACTCTCATTGTTCTCTGTGGCATGTATTGGAGTGCCTGTCCAGTTACCCTTGAAATGACATGGCAGATATTGGAGGGCCATGCAGAAAACATAGGAGATTTTCTTGAGGCACATATTGGCATGCGTTGGAGGGTCTAGTAGGGTAAGGGTTAATTGCAGAGTCACTGTACCAGGTACAACCAAATGTGGTTTGCGGTCCATCACGCATGGTTAGACATTGTAGGCCCACTGGTACATGTAGGTCACGTTGTGAGTGCCGTTACACGTAGGTCACGTTGTGAGTGCCGTATGGTGATTCAGTCACTGAGAGACGATGATTTTCGCGCGACGTGGGTTTAAGTTCTGACACAAAAAGCGGACACGTTGCCCAAGCCAGATATTGGTACTTTCTTCGGGTAGGTTCGGTTGTCCTTGAATTTCGGTTTTGGTTCAGATTCGGTTAATATCTATTATGTTTTGGGTCGGTTTGGCCTGGTCAACCCGACCCGATTCACAACATTAGGATCACACACACACACAACGAAATTCTTTCAACAGATTTGTCTATTTATTGATAAAAAGAAGCCGTGCATGACAGTTCTTCATCACTTTTTTGAAATCTCATTACAAGATATGAAAAACTTCAGGCTTAAGCCCAAATTGTCATAAAAGCAATGAAGCTACTTTAGTTAAATAAATATTTTGTCAACTCCTGTATTTACATTGCAGGTTGGAAAAACGAGAGAGTTGTCAGGTAAAACATTCCCCAAGAAAAATATGGAGTGACCAGTTTTCCAATAATTCCCCTACATCAATATGATGAAAAGGTAAGGTTACTTAAAATGTCAATATTTAACAATTGTTGAGTGCTGTGATGTGGGATATGACATTTTGAGCACCCGAGGGGCCCATAGCACCCGAGGCCGAAAGCCGAGGGTGCTATGCGCCCCTAGAGGGTTAAAAACGTCATATCCCACATCACAGCAGTCAACAATTGTTTTGTTATTACTCTGTCTTGGATTCTTTGGATTTTGATGTAAAAATAACGAAAACAAATAGCGGTAAAAACACAACAATCATGACAATCAAGCGGCAACTCACATGCGTGTCGCATGCTCGAAACAGCTGATCGTCTACTAGTTCCCTGCTCCCACTCATGTGTGAAAACGTGGTGAAAATAGCGTGGGTACCAACGATACAAGCGTTTCACACTGTATCGTACTGTACGTAAAATCATAGCACACTCCTGCCTCACCTACCTGATATCCCACGGGGAGTGTGCCATGACTTTTTATAAACTTAAAACGTGATCGTTCTAGGCCAATGAAAATACAATATTCAAGACAGAGGTATAACAATATGCATTACAAACTTTCCATCTCGCAAATTAAGCATTCTCTCTCTCAAAAAAGGCCTATTCCATTTGAAACCAATTGACCGAATTTTGTCTCTGCGTTGCTGTACAAGCAATTGACCCATGCCACCTCCCCACTAATTGTCTCAATTTCTCCTATAACTCTCATCGTATCTTGTCGAAGGTATTCAGGACCTTCATTTTGTCCTCCAGCAGTCCTTCTTCCTGGATGCCCAGGTTCTTGGGCAGCTTGGGCTGGACCCATCCTGTCAGCATCTGTCCCAGGTTGCCACTAATTGTCTCAATGTCTCCTACAACTCTCATCGAATCTTGTCGAAGGTATTCAGGACCTTCAGCACCATCTCATCCTCCAGCAGTCCCTCCTCCTGGATGCCCAGGTTCTTGGGCAGCTTGGGCTGGACCCGTCCCGTCAGCATCTCTCCCAGGCTGCTTCCCACGTCCAGTCCCTGCTCCTGCTGCTCTTGTTCTTGCTCCTCGTTGGGGCTAAAAATGAGCTGACGCAGATACTCGGTTCTCTCCTCACGTTCTGTCAGGGCCTGGGAGCTCCACACAAAGTGGGGTATCTATTGGGAGGAAGACGAAAGAGAAAAAGGTTTATATGGTTGTGCTTCTGAATTTGCTTTTTTTTCTTAAATGACCATGGTGTGACCGTAGTTGGAATTGTCATCAATGATCGTTCCAAAATCTGTTTGTCTGATTGGACTTAATCTGTAAAAGACTAAAACTTTGATAAAATCCATTATGGAACAGCTAAGATCTAGTTTATAACGGCGTGGGGTGGGGCTGGCAAGAACACGACCACCCTCCTCCCAAGAAAGGGTTAAAACAAGCTGGAAATGATCTCGGAAGCTGCGGGCCAACGAATTCATGTTCATGCATGAGTCACATGATTGTGGCACGTACTTTCTGGAAGGAGTAGTGTTTTGAGTACAAAAATCAGGTTTTTAACCCTAGTGACCCCACGATGACCTTTCACGTTAAGTGGAGACCCATTGAAGTGACACAAGGGAGGGCCAGGGCCTAAGGGACGAGTTGATATATGCCCTTCGCCAGGCCTGAGGGATGAGGTGATTATAGCCATGCAAGGCTGTCATGGAGCGTTTGTTACTAACTAACGGAGAGACGCGACGATTTGTTGAGCTGCTGTCTGCAGCTAAAAAAATTGGCCTTTTTAATTATGACAAGTTTTCAAAGTTTCACTCGTACAAAAACAGTGTGTACCAACTGTACTTGGGTAACAGGCTCATCCGGCATACCTAAGGTGGACGCTTCCCCCAAACTGATTGGAAAAAATTGTGATCTCCCATTCCTGAAAAAAGGTTCGCAAATACTCATTTCAACTTTCCCCACCCTTACAGAAATGTTCTCCCAAACCATAACTTTGAAGCAACTGTTTGTTAAATTTCCCCCAACCTGGATGGGTATCTGGTTATTTGAAAAATTGCAAGAAATGCTTAAGGTTTTTCAACTTCTTGGGGACGGGTGAACGCTTACCTGGACGTATCTGTAGCCCATGAGTTCCATGTGCCTTCGTTTCAGAGCCACCATGCCTAGGGTGCGCCTGGAGTTGATGCAGAACAACGAACTGGACAAGAAGTCGATGGCGACCCTGAAACAAGACAAGCATGAGATAAGGTTAGACATGAAACCAACAAGAAGAAAAAGCAGGGTTCGACCTTAACTTTTTTTTTTCACTGGCCAGCCGGGCTACTGAAACAGACTCTTATCTAGCCCGCGGGCGTTTTCACTAGCCCGCATGTTTTCCTTTTATAGAGTGTCTCATAAACAACAATGTGCATACATCTAAAACATGTATCCTGAGGCAATCTTGTCAGTCTTTTTAATAAACAGATCTAATACTTTATCCCTAAACAGTTAATAAAACTAGACATATACAGGTTTGCTTTCTGAATTTAATGATTTATTTCTTCCTGTCTTTTCATCTCTGCTGTAGCCCCATAATTTTTGACTCGCCAGCCGGGCTACTTAAGGAATAGTTTGACTAGCCCACCGCTGTTTTGACTAGCATTTAGCTAGTGGGCTACCGCCAAAGTCGAACCCTGGATAAAGTGAGGAAACAGACGAATAGGAAGGAAAGTTTACATTTAATTGTTGAAATTTTGCCTTTAAATTGTCAGAAATAGAATGTGGAGGGGGAAAGCGTTAAACGTTTTCATACATGGGTTGTATTTTTAAGAATAAAATTAGAATATTAAAAAATTATTATGCACATGTTATGTGGAAGGCGGAGAGATCAGAATTTGACATATGTTTCAGCCCCAAACATTTGACTGAAATTTGTAACTTTGAAAAACTAAAGTTTAGCAACTACACACCAACGTTGCGCAGCTACACCAAGTTTTGTGAAATCAATCATGCTTATTGCACAGCTGCACAATAAATTTGTTGCGTAGATCCTACGCATGGCGTAACTTAAGCGCTGTTTCCTGAAATCAGCTGCAGAACCAGGGAGAACCAGGACACGCATGTAATACATTCATTACTGGCTCTTATGAGAACGCCATTCAGTGACATCAATGGCTTCAACTCGAATCCGTAACGAAATGGGATCATTCCTTGAGAATTTACCCACCTCTGTGCACCGTGCGGTAGCTGCTTAGTCTGGGTACCCCACTGCATCAGATCAGCCAGCATGGTCCCCGCTACCTTGGCCTCGGATCGGTTCAGCACGCTGCCATAGTCCGCACAGGCTAGAGGGTTGCCGTCACTGTCCAAGACACACTCAAAGGCTGAAGCCAAAAGCATGAAAAAGTTGTAAAATTTCCAAATTTTCAAAACCATACCACAGTAAACTTTAATAATCTCAATGAAAGGGACAGCAGCTCAGTTTGTGCCGAAAACTGTGAGCTTAGTACCATGAAATTGGGCCCCGACTGTAATGAATGTATTATAGGCTCAACATTTATACTGTTAATCTTGTATACTGCCCTCTATTGATGGACCAGCCACTAGGTGCAATGCACATATAGTCCCATGCATGTATATGAGGACAAGCAAGGCTCACAAATCCTCCAAGTTTGCACTGACTGCCATGCACCATGATGATGCCACCTTCAAATTGAATGCAGTTCGGCCTTCTCGAGTGCACATACCAATGCCATTTTTGGAACGCAATGCTCTGAGTCCTTAGGCCAAAAAAAAAAAAGTCTCCGGTTTCTGGTATGGAGCTTGCCCAAAAGTGGTGCGGCGACGCGGCTTTTTTTTTTTTTTACCTTTTTTTTTTTTTTTTTTTTGGCTTCAAATGTCGGCTGATGACTGCAAATGGTGCCCGACTAAACTTAGTGCAAATATATGGGAGTCCAGAGAGGCCACATAAAGCTTATTCTCGATCGTAACCCCATCTAAAAACACGTTAAAATTGTGCAGCAGCAGGATTCCAGTCAAACCAGTGAGTTTGGCGGTTTTGAGACATCATCTTGTATTGAAAAAAAAACTTTTTCATTTTGCCGACGCGCATGGCTACGGCGACGCGCGCGCATACCAGAAACCGGAGACTTTTTTTTTTTGGCCTTATCCAACGGCAATACAGAGTTTTGACTATACATCGCCAAGTATTTTTACGTAAATACTTTGATTTTGATTTCGGTTCGTATACTTACAGATATCGTAGTAGTACGGCGACACCACAAATGACCGCACGTACTGCGCTCCACCCAAGACCTCTACGAGGGCGCTCTGTATCAACATCAAAGACGAGTCTAACGTCAAAGAACCTATTGGAGAAAAAAACAAATACAAGGAGTTATAACGTGAACTAAAAGCTTCCATCTGAGGATAAAAGCACTTTTTTTAAGAATGACAATGTGCACATTGGACTCACGTTTCTTGAGCAGGTCTTGACTGAACTGTTCGTGGAACCAGGGGACCTGTAGCTCGGGGCACTCCAGCGCAACGGTGCGGTTGAGGTACATCAGCTTACGACGGTACATCATGCTACGATCCGGGATGGCTGGAAAAAGAATTTGCCAGAGTTCATGATTTTTATCCCACAACACCCTTGGTGTAAGAAGCATCCCAAATCTGAACACTGCTATTAAAACCAAGCACCACAATTTTCAGGGGGACCAAGAAGATTGGAATATAAATGGAATGGCAGGTCTACGTCCAGGGTTTTTCTTTTTGTTTTAGAAGTTTCCCAAAATCTGTGGAGAGAAAGGGGAAGTGTAGACTACAGCACAAGTTGTCTTCACACCTTTTCTGTTTAATTATTCAATCGCCATTTTAATCACTTTTTTTTAACTGGGGGTGAAATCATAAAACGACACGTCTCACAGTCCTGGCCCTATATAAAGTATACACCTGTAGATTGCTTTATCCAAATAATATCCCAAATTCTTTGCCCATCCAAGAATTTTAGAAGGAAAAAAAAAAACCTACTTTCCAACTCTTCGTCCAGTTTTGTCAGGAAGTCCAGGCTGAATATGTGTCGGATGAACGGCTCGTGGAACTGCTGAAGGAAGGTCAAGATGTGAGTCAAGTCCACCAGGTAGCCGGACGGAAGGCTGTCCAGGAAAGGCTCACAGCGGGCCACGCAGGCCTGGAAGAACTGCGGGGCGTTGGGAGGGAGGTAGTTCAGGGTACAGAAAGGGCTCAGGATGTACAAGACCTGCCAAGGGAAGTAAACAGTGCACGTTTAAGACTTCATCAAACTTCATAACACTATTATTTCTTGTTTGTCACACCTAAATGATAAATAATTTAATTTGTGGGGCTACTCATCCTTGCTTGTAGCAGAAGCTAACTTGCAAAGGACGTACATGTAGCTGCAATGTAGTCGAGTCAAAGGCATGTAAAGGCACCTTAACCGTAACCCTCCAGGGTATTTTGGCTAGAAACCCTGCCAAACGCAGCAACATGCAACGCTTGTCTAAATGACAAGCCTGCCCAGTGCGGCAAGATCCATCCGGTCAAAAGTCTCAAGGCCAAACTGCCTCAGAGTCCGTGGTCACCAAATGCAGCAGGATACAACTGTGGCATTGTTCAATGGGATTAGCTCTCACTGTCTCAGAAGTGGCCAGTTTATGCACAGGTGTTGGTAGCTGAATGCAACAAAGTGCACCAGACTTTTCCACCTGATGCAATGTGTTGCGTCTGGCGGGGTTAGGGTTAAGCAGCTGCCATACGACAGATCACGGAGCACAGATCACGGAGCTCAGCCATATCAAAAGTGTTGGTTTTATATGCAGAGGGAGAAAAATTGGAGAACCTGGAGAAAAACCCTCATGGCACAGGAAAGAATAAGAAAACTAACTCTATTCACCCGAAGTTAGCTCGGCCGGGAATCGAACCAAGGCCACGGCGATGAGAGGGGTGGGCTTTATGGACTGTGCCACCCACTGTACCCGTTGGCGACTACTTGTGCATAGAATCTATAACTGAAAAGACAAGTACCCACCACTGCTGCCTTGGGCCCTCGCCAAGATGCCTTCCTTACCTGCATCGGGGTGATCTTGTTCATCTTATGTGTAGCCACCTCAGAGATCCGGTCCATCAGATCTCGCTGGAGGTACCTGGCCCGGAAGAGGATCCTGGCGCACTCTACGGCCAGCTGAGGGGTCAGGCGGTGCAGGATGCTCCCGGACTGCTTCATGGCAGCGTCCAGGACCAAGACGTGGCCGCCATCCTGGAGAATGATCTCTGCGATGTTGTTGAGGTAATGGATGCTTGTGATCTGTAGGATGTTCGGGAGAAAGCGTTCAGTACAGATGTAGAGAAATCTCAAACAAAAAGAGACATCTGGTTAACCCTTTCCTTACCATGGACAAATTTGTCAACAAGGAAGTGGCCCCTGCTGCTTACCATAGGCGACTTTAGTCGACCAGGAATCCACACAGAGAACACCCTTAGCACAGATTTATTCACTAGTTTTCAGAAAGGTGGCATGTTGGTGTATTTGGCCGCCCTTACATCAATCATATACCAACTGAAACAGTGTTTTCGGATCGTTCTAATGGTGTAGTTAACTTGTCGTGTTACTGTTACAAAAATTTAAGAAAAGTGCGTCAGAAGTATCCACTCACAATTCTGAGGTATGGAGTGCCATTTAGTCACGTTGTGAAATGGCTTACAGTTTGATAACTGGGACCAGATCAACAAACAGGCATAACTTTCTTATATTTGCACATAATGGACTTGATTTTTACATCACATAAAAGAGTACAGTTCAAGGACCAAACTTTACACACAATACCTATGATTTTATTCACTCCTTTGCAGTGAAAATCTGGGATGAAAAGTGAGTTTTCAACTTGTGGTCCATTTTTCACGCTCTAGTGATTTCCGCATGACTGAGCAAACAATTTGGTTCTGGGGAGAGCCAAGTCCTAAACAATGTGGTGAGGAAAGGGTTAATGGACAGCCTAACAGCCTGTAAGCAATTTTTGCATTGAACTGTTGTGAATTATTTAAAATCCCCCACTCGACAGGAAACTTGTGGTACAGTCTCCATACTTATTTTGTTGGGGGCTAAATAATAAATATTCCTTAATCCTAAAAAAAAAAAGCACTCTTGGTAGAATTTGAAGAATCTTGGGAATCAAGAATAGATGTGGATCGGCAGATTCACAATAACTTTTCAATGAATGGATAAGCCTCTGTACTGATGATGTCACACTTTGTTTACACATGTGGTTTCTTATGGAGGCCCGCACACGTAAACAGAGTGTGACGTCGTCAGTACAGAGGTTTATTTTTGGTTAAAAACAACAATGCACATGAAAGTGGGAGGTGTGAGTATTTTTATCTTATTATTATTTTAACCCTAACCCACCTCACTCCTCCAAAATCCTCCTGGCGGTTTTGGAGGATTCCAGAGGATTGAGGATGAATGGTGATTGAATCAAATGAGGATTCTGGAGGATTGAGGATGAATGGTGATTGAAGCACATGAGGATTTTGGAGGATTGAGGATGAATGGTGATTGAAGCACAAGAGGATTTTGGAGGATTGAGGATGAATGCATTTTGAGGCAGGACTGTCTGATGATTTTGAAGGATTTGGCGTTGGTTATCCTTCATTTAAACACGAGTGCAAAATATTTGGCTGAGGAGGATTTTGGAGGATTGAGGATGAATGCATTTTGAGGCAGGACTGTCTGATGATTTTGAAGGATTTGGCGTTGGTTATCCTTCATTTAAACACGAGTGCAAAATATTTGGCTGAGGAGGATTTTGGAGGATTGACGATGAATGCATTTTGAGGCAGGACTGTCTGACAATTTTGAAAAATTTAGGCGGAGGATTTTGGAGGATTGAGGATGGTTCTAAGCAAAAAGGACCTGGGGGTTAGGGATAATGTCAACTTTTACCGGTAAAATAAATCATCATATCAGAATTTTGCATTAAAGGAAAACACTGCACACCTTGTCGATTGACACCTGTGCCCTCTCAAACAACTCCTGTTTCAAGTTGAGGAAATCTTGGCACGGAGTCCCTGACTTGTCCAACTTGCGGGCAATCCTGCTGGTGGCCAGCAGCATGTGGTTGATGCCAGCGATGTGGAGCTGTGGCATCATGGCCCGGACTCGCTCAAGGACAATATGGTCTAGCGAGTCTAAGGAAGGCAGCTGCGAGAGACTGGACACACATCCCAGTACCCTACTCGGTGAGAAGGCAGAGCGGAGTATCTCAAGCAACCTTTCCTGGATGAGTGTAAACACCTCTGAGTCCAGGTTATCGACACGGGTCAGGAATCCGACAATGTCGGCGATGCCTTCCACCTGGAGGTTACTGCTTTCCGCTTTGATTCTCTTGACCAGCTTCCGCACCAGCGGGTTCTGGGTCCGGTACCCCATCAGGCGCAGTCCAACACTCATGTGGCTAATGGCACTAGGGGAGAGGATTGATACGATCTCCTCGGCTTTATCTGCCAGAAGAAGTTTGATATTGGCAGAGGCGACACCCCCAATGGTCTCCATAGCATAGGACAGTTCGTCAGGATCTTGGCAATCCGGAAGCTTTTTGGCGATGGTCTTCCGGATTGCTTCTCGGAGCTCCTTGTTTTCGTAGTCAAGGCTTTCCAACATGGACTGCACCATGCATGACTCTTTGACGGGGATGTTCTCGATCATCCCCAGCAAGAGCTGGGAGCACTGGTTCAACAGCGGCTGGCTGATGCTCCGCGAACGCGCCATAGTCTGGATGACTCTCCTGAGGCTGTTGTCACCGATGTCTGCAGGGTTAGCCTCTGCCAGAAGCTGGCTTGCCTTCTGGAAGATGGCTTGTCTGTTGGGCGGCGACACCAAGTGTATGACCTCCCGCATCCAAGCCGAGAGTTCGCGGATGCTGTCCACCTTGTGCAGCTTGTCGCTAAACAGCTGCACAATCTTGCAGAACATGGGGCTGCGGTTGTCATTCATATCTTGGAGGCACACAACAAGCTTGGACAGCGTGTCTGTCTCAAACTCATCGAGCCGATGGTTTATCTCGGTCCTCAGCTCCCGCACAAAGGGGTGATGAACCTCAGGAGTGAGACGCAAAGCCGCGTACAAAGTATCCACAAGCAGCTTGCCATCCACATCTTTCAACTTGTTTTCAGCCAAGACACACAGAGCATCGAATTCTGGATGGCCACGGACCACCTCCAGAAAACAAGCCAAGTATGGACCGTCATGGAACTTGGCAAGGTGCCAGAGGTGGTTGAAGGCTTGGTAAACGTGCAGGTGGGTCAGACGAGATCGGTGACGGCTGGTGAGGTTCAGGACCTGAATGGGGTCAGTGGTGGACGTGATCTCGTCAGAGAGAGCATCTGCAGAGACTGTTGCCTGGAAGCGCTTCACAGCTCCTTGGCAGGAATTCCCAGGAGATGGTATCTTTCTTGTGTTAGTCCTCAAGATCTCTGAGTGCACACCAGCCTGGGTTGCTCTTGAGATTGTTGGCAAGGGCTTTGGAAGTTTAATGGAGTTACGCATAGGGTCTGTCACAACCGACAGACATCGCACACAGACAGATGCCGTGCAGAGTTGCTGCAACTGAGACCGGGCAACAACGCAGGCCCCAACTCGGCACCCGACTACAGAAGAGGCCATACTTCACAGTAGATCACAACACAATTAGCGTGCACACAGAGTCCTCAAATGGAATTCTCTTGATCAGCATGACCTGTGAACACTGAAAGAGATCAATTTGTAAGTCTTTAATTTTGTTAGTCTGTCTACAGGGTATTAAGATGCACATCAAGTTTGACATTAAAACAGCACAATAGTCAAAGATATATGATAAAATCTGGATTTACACAACAAACTCACACACTACATTTTCGACATGTTTGAATGTTTGAGTCCAGTCACAAGATTGGTTTAAAATGTGTGAATTAGGCCTAAAAGTAACTCATGTACAAAGCGTACTTATGATATAAATTAATATTATAACAGAACAAAAAAGGAACAATTACAAATAGACTGTAATGTGAAAGCATTGTAAGCAAATAAAAGAACAACAATGTGAAAAATAATGGATAATGACAGTGTAAAACAAAACTAACAAAACCCTGCCCTCTTTCCACAAAATTAAGGTAGCTGATATCCAACATGGTATCTCAGCAGATACCAAGATGATATTCAGATGATTCCAATTGCAAACAAGAGACTTTTCCAGCTTGCGTCATCGCCAAATGTTACATGTTATAAATATAATACGTCCCAAATTCCAAAACATAAAATTTCTTTCCGTTCTCTGGGCCGGGAACGGGGTCCTAAGTAAACTACACGATTACCCATTTTTTTAACCCGACTGTTTATTTATGAGTGGGAGGTTTGCGGTAACACCATGTAAATGGTGATTAAAATCTAAAATGACATCTCTAGGTGTTACTATTATTAAGTCTTAGCATAACTGAGTTGTGTTGTTCTGAGAAGAACCAGTTGGCTTAACTGAGTGAGACTGAGTTACTCGCTGTATCGAACAGTGTGCTCTGCTCGTCATCAGGAGATTTTTTCCTTGCAAATTAATACTTACAGCCTGATCATGTCGTTGACATTGTCTACACCTGGAGGAACTTGACAAAATGCTACATATTCAATTTCTCTGTCCTTTGTATTTATAGTGTTTAAATAACAGCGTTTAAAACTTACACAACTTTACCTGAGCTGCGTTTATTATGAGTTTACATCATGATGAAATGACAAGTTCGTCCCACGTGCAGTGATCTTTTTCGCGTCCCAAGTCCCTTACGTGAAAGACCTGAGGTCGAGGTTGAATTAATAGGGGGAAATATTACGGTAGCCTGTAAATGCCACAATATACCCACAACGCATTATTTTGTGTCGGTTCGCTAGATGGGGCATTTCATCATCACTTATTGATCTTGCACGATGTCGAATTTATGAAAAATGTCTTCTTCTTTTTTCTGATTCAGAAACAAAATTGAAGAAATTTAGTATGGGGAAGTAAAAGTAAAAATCGTTTACTCAATATGAGTTGCCCCCTCCTAGTGAATTGTTGTACAACCCATCGCCAACAAAAAGTGGCCGGGACTCTTGGAGTACAAACAGAACCACCCCGGTCCCCAACAAAGGTTCAAGTGTTCTTTTTTATCTGTAATAGCTGGACTGTTTTTCATTTCGATTGTGTCACTGATGTGGTAAGATTTACATTTGCTATTTAGTTTTGTTACCCACTTTTTGCAGTAAATCCCCGCGGCCATACAATTAATTAGGGACCCCAGTGGAACCAAATTTTCATAATTTGGGTTATCCTGATCTTGGACTTGGGGTTTTTTGTTTTTGTTTTTGTTGTTTTGTTTGTTTGTTTGTTTGTTTGTTTGTTTTACTTTTTCCACAATTTTAAAAACTCTTCTTGTTGAACTTTTCAAGAAAAAAAAGTCAATATGTTCTTCCGCCATATGCAACGGCTTATTTGTATTTGTATTTTTTTTCTTAAAATTCTAACCAGTGTCTAACAGTCTATTATCTTAGAATAAAATACTCATCTTTTTGATTCTAATTGTCTTTGCCTTACAGAAACTCGATCTTGAATAACTTTGCAAATCCTTTGCGTAAAATAATTACAAGAACTTAAATCATGGAAGAAAAAAGGGAATGTGGGTGGTAGACACCAAAATAAATTCGCTCGCAGACGCATAGCATTATTTCAGCATGACTTTTGGTTTTGTTGTCGTAACTTATCTTTTCCAGACCTTTCTTTTTCTCCAAATATTTGATCCGTGTGTCAAAAAAATGCGCTCTTGAAGGCAAAGATCCTTTTGCGCTTGAAGGTTAGCAAAATTGTAAGTGCGCCATCTCTAGTCGACGGCGAGAGATCTTGAAGTTAGTCAAACGCAAAAAAAACCGGTCAAAAAGTAGGCATCGCCCATTTTCGCTCTATCTCACGCCCAATGTTACATCGAGAAGACGTTAGGAAGTTTACGCTACACCTACGAGACATTGGGCTTGTAAAAGCGCTCATTAGAGCGCTGTTCGTAATGGAGTGTATTGTGAAATCGTGAAGTGCATGGTGGACGTGCATAGATCGCATGCAACCGTACTGTGTGCCGTATATCGTAGTGTGTAGGGCGTGATATTTCTGTTGATGTTCGCGGAGGGAGAATTTAAGAAAATTGTAAAAATGCTGAGCAGTTGAATATAACCAAATAATGTCGTGACAGAAGCGGAGAAATTTTCATCTGTTTGCAATTTTAACGATGCAAAAGAAAGCAAGGATTTTGACGATTCAGTATGCTAGCCAAATGCACGGGAATGCACTTTGCTTGACGTGACAGATGACCGCCAGATGACCGAGTAAATTGTACACATGGCCGGTTGACTCTCTGCTGTGTGATTCCGTGAAAAACACCCGGAAAAGTTCACTTCATTTGCCGCTGCTAGACACAGGGAACAGTTGGAACTTAACTATGGGCCAATGTCTGTAGGCCTTACAAGGAAGCCTGTTCCCTGAAACTCCCAACTAGCCGTGGTTTGCAGGGACGGAGACGAGACGATGCCGGACGGATCGTCAGCGGGACGGGGGACGGAGGTGATGGCCGGGAGTGACCGGGTGGTGCTGCGCCGGCTCGCGGTCAGACCCAAGCCCCGAAGAACAACGCTCATCTTCGGCGTGAGCCAGATGATACTGGGCCTAGCTATCGTGGCCATTAGCTTCACAGCGTTTGCCCTGTCAACCAGCAACAGGGTCAGGAATGCTTGCCCATATTGGGCAGGATTTTCGGTGAGTAGAAAATAGAATAAAGAAATTGTAGCCTAAGTCTTTGAATTACTTAACTTATAGTTATAATATCTTAATTTTATGGATTTTTAAAACTCAACTTCCTTCCAAGTTATTGGAAGGAACATTTGATAGGCGCATAATTTCCAAAAAACTCAGTTCATCAACTGATCGTTGGTAATATCATTCGATTCTTGATTTCTACTAAATGACAGTAAGCCAGATGGGGTCCTACTAAAGCGCGTCAACAAGCGTCAACAAGCGTCAACAAGTTTTAGTAGTCGTTAAGTGCGCGTCAACAAATTTTGTATAGGCCTCTGAACAATAAAAACAGCTTTATATGGTAGAAAAAGCAATAATGAACATCTTCTGCATATCAATTAAAGTTTAAATTACTTAAAAAGTGGTTTTCCAGCGCGAAATCTACGACGGGTTTTTCGGTTTAGTATTGGCCGCCATCTTGTTTGAGATTTACATACTACGCATGCGTGGAGTGTACCATTCACGCATAGGGGTTTCTTTATACGATACGAAAATATTCAATTCTAGAAATTAGGAAAACTATTTTTTTTTCAATTATAAATTATGCAAAACTTGGTCACGGTACTTGGCTTATTATTTGAAAAATATGCCGACTGACACTGTTCACAATGTCTGCCAAAAACTCCCAATGCAAAAACCAAACGAGGTTTCGCAAAGCGTATAGTATAAAGAAACCCCTATGTGTAAATGGTACACTCCACGCATGCGTAGTATGTAGATCTCAAACAAGATGGCGGCCAATACTAAACCGAAAAACTTGTAGTAGATTTTGCGCTGGAAAACCACTTTTTAAGTAATTTTAACTTTAATTGATATGCAGAAGATGTTCATTATTGCTTTTTCTACCATATAAAGCTGTTTTTATTGTTCAAAAGCCTATACAAAATTTGTTGACGCGCACTTAACGACTTACTAAAACTTGTTGAAGCTTGTTGACGCTTGTTGACACTTATTGACGCGCTTTAGTAGGACCGGCCAGATGGACTAATTTGTGTTTAAACTGGTGTTTAATACCACTTTACCAGTTTTATCTTTATTAATCCAAGTAAGCTTTTTGATGATAATGTGGTAGGATAAATGCAAACGATCCTATGTATATACATGTATGCCTTAAAGCATCACTCGTCAGTGTCACAAGCAAAGGCCACAGTGCTGAGCACACCAACACCGTTGGTGATTTATGACATTTTACGTGTTAGAATTTGATTTGGCCTTGTGGTCGTCACGCACGATCACATTTTAATAACCTCTGGAGGAATAATAAATTGCCAAAAGAATTAATAGATTCTGGTTTCTAGGCTCATGAAATAAGACTTTTTTTCTACAGAAATGTCTTTTGAAAATGGAATTGAAATATTTGTAATACAACCTGTCAATGAAGGACCAACTTGCAAACGTTGTAATTGATTTCAACCGTTTAAAAGGCCAGCATTCACAGCAAAAAAATATATACCCGCTACCACTCTTATTCTTGTACACTTTATGCTGTGTTTGTTCCCAAACACAGAAAAAACCTCCAATTTTGTGTACATTTTTTGTGTAAATATTATTATTCTGGTAAGTACACATCACATGGAAAAGCATATAATTTGGCAAGCTATTGAAAAGTTGTTTATTTTACTTGAGTAAATATTTTGTTTTCTCCAAAACCACAAATCACTTGACTTTGACTTTCACACAAATTAGAAAAGATTCCGATACAGCGTAAAAGGTTTACAAAATTTTGCAAACAATAAATCAGTCATTGGATCAGCTTGTGTACTTAACCTCGTTCGCTTGTGAATTTAATCATGGAGGTAGAATTACATAGTTTTGTATTGGACCGTAAACTGCATGCAGCAAATAATCTTCCCTTAGATTGTGTTGTCTTCAACATGTCAGTCGTAAATCAAGATGTTGCTCTAATTATCTTGAAAACATGCCGCAGGCAACAACTTTATCCCGTCAACGAAAGTTCCAAACTTGTGCCTTCACCACTGCAACTTAATTGCACAGTCAGTTTCCTGCCCAAACAATTTAGTTGGAGACACTCATTGACAGAAATACTTGTTTCAAGTAATATCTTTATTGTTGCATTTTTGCTAGGATGCCACCTCAATCCTGCAAAATCCTACAACTGCCTCCATGTAAAAATTGCATACAGCCTCAATCCTGCAAAAGCATCCATTATTTCTTGAATTTGGTCCTAGGAGGGGTGACCACTGCCTCAATCCTGCGAAATCCTCCAGCAATCACTGTCAATATGTTGAGGCAGAGCCAGTGATATCCTGCAGCAGTGCAGAGGATTTCAAGTGTAAACTTCTTTTTAAATTTTAGTCACACTGTAATCATATACAAAAGACAATTGTTTTGGTCTTTATTCTTTACAACAAGTGCATAACTGTTTTAACAAGCAAAAGTACATGTATGCAGTGCAAGAAAAATATACCGAAAACCTATTGTCAAGATTAATATCCAGAAAAAGGCACAAGCTGTGAAAAAAAGTCAAATTAGCATTCAATCAATATTGAATTGCACATTATTATAATGCTCAAATGTGTTGAGACCTGTGTAAACTCAGATCACCTGACAGTTGTCAATTTTCGGGGACCGGTGCTGCCATTAATGCGCTTCCAATGATTTATTCATGCGACGTTCGCACCGAGCCTGCGCTGCCCTCGTACAGTACGCACGTGTACCGGTACATACGCGGGCTGTATATAAACCACACTATCACCAAGCTGCAACAAGCGTGTCCAGATCCCATGAATGTTTCATTCGGGCTGTCATCGGTGTCTGGGGGTAATTTACTGTGTGTGTGTGTGTATACTATAGCTTTTTCAGTCTTTCATCTTTTACCAAAATCCCCCACAAATTAGCCAGGGGAATATAGATGGGCTTTGCCTTCTGTCACTGTCAGACATGCTTCAGATAGTTTTCCTTTATGGTGCGTACTGTGTGTCAGTAAATGTCACCTGCAGGTTGCAATGTTGGTGTGAAAAAAAAGCCACTCTTATCGGAAGCTGTTTTCAACTCACTGTCATTCTTTGGATTGTTTGCTTGTTTCATTGTTTTGAATTAAAACCAACATTTCGCTCTAGAAATAAAGTTATCATTTCAAATCATTTAATATTGTTCAGATGCAGTGTTTCCCAACATTTCTAGTCACAGAAAAGAAATGTTCACTTATGAAATTGATTTTATTTTTATAGACAATAATACCATTCAAAAGAAAGTTGCAATTACGTTTTGATAACTTTTATGTCTGGTATAAAGCAGGCATCCAGAAATTGGCTTATTTAAAACTACATCAAAATAAAGAAGCTTTAGTCTCTTTTTTTTTAATTCCTGTCTATTTCATCTTAGATTAGAAATTAACTTCCTTAAATCATCCAAGTTTCATATGACTTTCCTCTTCCAAAGGATTTTACAGATCTGTCGTTATCAATTAAGACTTTCTAAGAACAGACATTCTATCTACAACTACCCGCAAAAGTACAGTACTTTTTGAGTGCCATCTTGAAACAACAAACCACATCTTGACCTCCAGGTAGCAGTAGTTGGGGGTGGAGGTAACCCAATTCTCCTCAAAAGTGCTGCGAACTCTGTGTACACAAATTATTTTTACTACATCCTAATCCTTGGTTTAGCCAGCAGTCAATCAGGCCCCATAACAAGTGACAAATAAACAACATACTTACATGTATTTCCTGCACAAAGTTCCAGAGTTTTGATAGTGTACTTTTTAATTTCAAGTGACAAGGTAAAACATGTCGTTTTTTTTTTAGCACTTCGTATTGAAATGAGAGATTTAGGCCTATAAAGGGAAAATTCTAGTCTTATTATGCAATTATACAGGGCCTCTCTGGCACCGAGATGGTCTACGTATAGCAAAGCAAGGGCTTTATTGCACCTGTTTAACACAAATCAGCAGGTGGGTTTTTTTTTGTAATTAATTAATACCAGTTATTGTGAGAAACTCTGCGAGCTCTTGGGATATTCTTCAATCCAACTGAATTCCAACAAAGTGCAGTAAACCGATTGCATAGTCTGCAAAACCAGTGGTAAGATTTGGATAATCCATGAATTATGACAGACTTGGGTGACAAAAGGTTCCTAGAAAAGGCTTTGAGGTTTTAGGATAAAGGTGTAAAAACAAAATTAAGCAACCAAAAACAAATAAAAGTTGTGACAGTAACAAGTGGGAGATGTGAATGACCAGAGCAACCCCTGGCCTTTTGTTTGATGAGTCAGTCTGTGGTTTGTTCTGTGCTGTGTTTTTAGCACTTTGGGCTTTGTGTACATTTATCACAGGTTTAAAGGGGGGAAAAAATGACAAGTACACTCTACATAAGGTGTTAAATCTTTGCTGACATTCTGCTGTTGGTTTATCAACCCAACTCCCTTAATTTGTTGGTTTGCGAGCTTTAAAAGCAAACTGAAGAAGCCTCACAAGGCATAAAACGCCACGCGAGGGACGTGCCCACAATTGTCTCGCTTTTACTACACGGGGCACTAACTAAAATTTGCCACGATCAATTGGAAATGTACAAAATTTCCCGGCACCACTCATTCTTGTGGGTGTGCCTGTGTGCACAGGTGTGTGCGTCTTGACTGTACCCGTAACGACAGACAGAAGATCCTGACTCATTCACGCCATCATTAGCGCTAATTCCTTCTCAAATGAAATCCTTGCCAAGCCATCTTCACTTTCACGGCTTTAAGCGGCGCCAGAAGAAAGCGCCTTTCTGAAAAAGCAAAAGGAGAAAGGAAAAAAGTCCACCCCTGGTTTGTTGAGTTTCTTAAGACCAACAGTGGTGTCTTTCCTGGACATTACCCTGATGGGATCAGATGGGATCAGGGCCCTTTTTTTTCCCTGTGAGCGATAATCCCTTTTGTTCAGTGTCACCTTGGTTTGTCTATTTCTTGAGTGATGCCTTGCCCAATCATAGACCCTTGAGTTTCAGAATCAGAGCAGTGGT